CCCCCCCCTACACCTCCGCTGCATGAGAAGCAGCAGCTGAACCAAGACCGCATTGTCCATCTCATTTTCCTTTTTCACCACGCGGTCACCGCGTGGACCCTGAGCGCTCCCTCGAATCACCTGCCTTTCATGAGCAGATGCCCTGTCTCGGGATGCTATCTCGATTGCGCAGGGAGGAATGTTATGCCACCGCGAGATGAGCCTGTCTCGCTCTACTTTCCAACAGTGTCACAGGTGCGACAATGCCACGGGAAGGGCCCTTGGTGAGCTGGTCAACAACACAATTCGTCTGCCCCGGTTCGCGCTGCTGTGTTTTCGAACCTTCAAGCGAGCCATCATGATGTTTCGAAACTTCATGCGACTCAACTTCGTCATTTTGTCGTGTCGATCGGGTCTCGGTCTCTTGCCGCCCGGACGTGCATCGGCGACCACGGAAAACCCCCGCTGTTCATCTTGGAAAGCTACGTTGATGGAGCTGCGGTTCGTAGTGGCGCACGCCTTATAATGGATCCCGTGAGAGATCATCCAGCTGCGCAGGGGAACAAGACCATGGTTTGATGCATTGGCCCGAACATCGATTTCTCCCCCGAAGATGAGCTCAATGCGCCGTGCGAAAGAAGCAACAAGCAGAAGCCACATCCATCCATACAACACAACATATATTCAGTCGTCGCACCACGGTACCTATCTGACAGAGCCAGGAATGCCGTCGCAGCTTTTGCTAACACCCTTGATGCCTCCTCCCTTCCCTTACCCTTCCCCATCCCTGACATTTTTTTCGAGCGGCGTCCAGCGGTCGGCGACAGCTCGAAAGTTCGGGTGGCCAATGATGTTTAACAAATGGACAAGTTCACTGATCTTGCCTACAGTGCCCCCTCTCTTTACGAGAAAACCAAATTGCCTCGTCAGTTGTTCGCGGTTTTGACGAGTCACGACACAGATTCGATCAAGACACGGCTGCAGTGATCGCCTCATTTGAGCTGTCGACGATGATGAAGTCGTCTTCTCCGGACCGTGTCTTGAACCAGAATGTGCGACCCAGTTGCGTCCCGCCTCACATCCAAAAGTCCAGCATTATGCTTCGAGAACTGCGTTTGTTGCCTGTCAAATTTTCTCGGATCGGCGCTCCATCATCGCACGGCAGAACGGACGAGGGATTGTATTCAGAAAGATCTGAGCCCGTTTCTGGTTCTCTCACTGGCTGACAAGTCATCAAGCCATGTGGCCTAGCTTGCATTTGCAAGCAACTTCCCTGCGCTGTGGCGTCGCCGATGAGCTCTCACGTTTCTTTTGTCTTCCAGCGAGGCCTCTGGAGGCAGTTTGTTTGGCGAACGGTTGGTTGTTTGCTTTTTCGTGGTTTCTCGCCAAACCTGGCATAGCAATGCCAATTCTAACGCCGGATGTCTCCATCCAGAAAGGCCGTGATGCACAGAAAAGACTTACATGTGCGCTCAGGATTTGGTGTACAGCGTTCCTTGGGCAGCATTTCGTCGCGACCTGGTGCCATCTCAACGAAGCTGGATGATGGGCCAGGCGTCAACGTCACTCAAATCACAGGGTTCGGCATTGCCACCACTGCTTTGCTTTGTCGACGAATCAATTTCCAGACGCCCCTGCATTAAGATCGAACCCCTTCCTCCGACAAGTCCGTGTCTAACGCGCGCTGACGAGTCTCATGGTGCAGGTGCAATGGTGTTGATTCTGGCAACCTTATACGCGAGTCTGGGCTGCTTGCACACAGCAGCGAGGCTGTCTCAGAATGAAGGGGTCTCGGTGACGCCGGAATGAGATGGCAGAAATCCTCGTGATGTCCGGGTGCCCTGGCGTTCCAGTCGCAAATCACCATCGAGATCTACCGACGGACGATAATGGACGTTCTGGGGATACTGCCCGCGGCCACGTTGATCGACAAGTACCCAGCCAAGCCAGCACAATCCCTGCTCCGCGCCTAACAGCACGGAAGCAAAAGTTGAAATTCCCGTCACACAGACAGTCGTCCTCAACAACGACTGACTAGACGATGAAGTCATTGTTTATCCCTTTACAAAGTACCGAGATATCGCATCAAACGGCACCAATGCCTGGTCGCACGGCGAGCATGGCGAACGAAACAGCTGTGGCGGAGCTTGGTCTTCGAACTCTACCAGGACCAGTTACCCAAGGCCTGCTGGCTAGAGCTACAAACATGGACCAACCCGTCCTGCCGGGCAGACTCCTGACTCGCCTGAGACAGCCCTCCAAACCCCCCGACCGTGCCGCTGCTCTTTCGTCTCTGCCGACAGCTGCAAGTGAGCGAGATGACCTTTTTTAGGCACCTGAGGCACGACGCCAAAGAATCGCTGAGTGGCCTGACAGGGTGGCCGGCAGCTTCGCTTCAAACAGGTTACCCCAGCTTAGGGCCTGGTTACCTAATGGGAGGGCTGCTGGGGGCGTTATTTGCCGAAAATGGCTGAGCGGGACTTGAGGGGGTGTAGATATAGAGTCGCTGTTCGCGTAGGCGTGACTCGCGCACCAGACTTTGCCGAACCATCCATCGTGTGACTGTGTCTTTTCGCCTGTTGATTTCTATCTTCCCTTGCTTGTTAATAAGCCCTGTAGTGTGAAAATAATCGAAAATTATTTCCCTCAGCATGTTTCTCAGCATGAAAATGAATGGCCGCGCCAACTCAAAGGCGGAGATCTAGCTGCGCGCTGCGCGAAACCCGCTGTGCGATCAACCTTTTTGCACTTGTCCACACCTGTATGCACTACGTACTGATACTGGGTGTTTACCGACTGGGTACCCTATCACGGAGGCCCGGAACGTAAGCAAAAGCCATCGCGAGTCTCGGCGGGTGATCGGCGTAGCGCCAGCAAATACTGGCCCGGCACGCCGCCTTGAATGGTGTGCGCTCGGTCGCCCGGGTTTTCCCAGGCCAACCTACTGCAAGGCGAAAGTTTGCACTATTGCTTTGCTTTCGTGTGTGAGATTCAATGCTTCGCATCGGTTCTGTCAGAAGGGCGAGAAGGGCAGCCGGCACTTTATCTGCGATTAGGCAGTCTCAACGCCCGTCATGTGAGTCACGGCGGGGGCGGAGGGGGGGTTGAGGGGAGGACAAACGGTAGGGTAAATAGCTGATCTAGCTGATGAGATCGGATTCTCAACCTTTTGGTGCCATGGGCGGTCAAGATTCCGATTCGCATTTTGACAGGCTAACGGCAGCACTGCAATATCCTGACAGGCAAACTCTAACACGGGAGCTGAAAAAAAAACGCCATGCGCTGGCATCTGGCCTAGGGAAAAAGCAAGCCAGAAGGTCGATGGTGGACGTGAAGATCCGTGCTGTCACCGTTGTGGCTGAACGGCATTGGATACCTTCTTTTTCTTTCGAATTCCCCCCCCCCCCCCTCTCCCTGGCTCTGGGATCTGGGGTTTCGATCGATGCGTTCGATTACTCGGTGGCTTGCGTTCGGCGATGGCGAAGCTATTGGCATCACAACTTTTGCTTCTTCTCCCCTCGGCACCGCGGCTGTCGCGCATAAGCCCAGCCAGGCCGGCTGTCACGCTTCCGGGACTTCTAGATCCAGACGTCTTCCATCCAACCACAGATGAGCTGGGAGTCCTTGGGGGTTCATCGCCCTGCATGGAACAAGGAATCTGTGGCACTTCGGTGCCTTTCTTTTCAGTTGATGAGCATCATGTGAAGAGGATGTCGACGGTATATGCCGTACGAGTCTGTATCCTACGCCCTAGTCTTCCTCTCGAACAGGCGGGTGTCTAGGACATGCGGCCAGACCGAGCAGATCTAGGCTTGCGATGATGCAGTCCCCAGACTACCGAGCTGGGATACCTTACCCAGATTCATGTGTCCGACGCATTTGGTTGGTCCACTTAGCAGGTAACCGATAGACAGCTGGAGCCAACTCCAATATTGCATGTAAGTCGGCCCAGATGATCGTGATGCTTCTTCAAACATGACGGGGTTGTGAGTTTGTCACCCGATATTCTTCGCAATCGGGCGGTCGCGCTGCTGCTCTCTCATCACCCGCCGAAGAAAGGGGGAGATGGAGGAAGCCATAGACTCCTCGGTTTGGTACCAAGTCTGGCATCATAGTCTCTGTAAACCAGAAGAAAACCTTTCTCAGAGCAAGCGTTGATAACAGAGCTCCGGAGATTTCTCTCGCAATCCGTGCTTCGTGCGTAAAACTCGGATCACCGTAGTGTTCTTGAAGTTGATTGGCCTCACACATCAAATTGAAGAAACTGTATCGGCGAACGATGCGTTAGATGAACCGTTCTCTTGAATCAGTTGACGTTTTATTTCATTCTGGGCTGGGCACCATCTCGACGATTCACTTGGTGATGCGCAAGCTTGGAAAGACACGTGACTGGGTCTGGTCAGCTTAGGTCATCAGGCAGGTGTACATGTAGTGTAAGTACGCATCGGTCGTGCCTGGGCCAGGCGCGCTAAACCATTCACGGACCGCCTGGCACTTCACTCGTCCGTCGAAGCTCGTGGACCTCCTGTTTGCTGAATCATCATCATTCTCCCATGGGAACGTCGCAGTAGGTTGACGTGGGCTAGTTGCTGGCTGATCGAGGCGATTTCCATATCCCCATATCTCCAGATCGCCATTATTGCGTCTGCTTTTCTTGACACAAACCACGGTAGATAGCGGCCTCTTTTCTATACTTGCGAATGCTTGTCGACCTTGTCCTCCCCAAAAATCCACACCTCCCTCAGCAGCCGGGCAACCCCTCACCAAACATTGCATCTCAAGTTGACCAGACTCATCCATCGCTGATACCCCCATTTCGTCCACTGGCTGCATTGAAGCATCTTCTTCGGCACACGATCACTTTTGACGCAACGGCAACCTCCATAGAGCAGATTTCGCATCTTCAGTCTGGCATTCCCCGCACCTCTGACGCCCCAACGTTCATACCCCTCTTGACACATAGCCCTTGGGGCCGGCTCAGCCTACAAGATGGCATCTGAGTCACCGGAAGCGCGAGAGCTGCGATCTCTGAATGTCATGAAAGATGCCATTGTCAGAGGAGCAAACAATGAGAAGAAGCTAGAGCAGGCCCTCCAGAAGCACCTCGCTCCCTTCGTGGCCATGGGCGGCAGCAAGTCTGCCAAAACGCGTGTTGATGTAAGCCCTCATCCAGAAGCAATGCAGCTTGCCACACTCATACCCGGACTAGGTCATTCGATTCGCCCAGTCGATAAAGAATCTCATCGGCCGCTCTCAGTAAGTCAGGGAACCCGTGACCTTGTCACTGCCCTCCTGTCGTTTTGGGAAGAGTCCTAACGCCAGTCTCAGAATCATCCTTCCCGTTGGCGCCCTCATCGCCCAATACAAAAAGCCTGATGCATCGCCCATCGTGCGCCAGCTGGCCTCCACCTTCATCACGCTCGGCGTAGACCGGATGGACGACTACGATCGGTCCCAACTCATCAAAGACATAGCAACTGGCATATCTGCTCTGTCTTCAGCTTCCTCGGCGTCTTTGATCCTGAGGGTCCTCCTACGTATCATCCCAACCGTCAAAATCCCCTCCCGCGGAAGCCAAGAGGATGGCTCCTTTCGGTCTTCGATTGGCCTTTCGGCCAGCAAGGACGCCAACTGGGTGGCGTCATGGATGGGCAAGGTGCTCCTGTTGAAGCTGCCCAACTTTGGCGCCAGCGATAAGCTGACGAGGGATGAGGGCATCGCCAAGCTTGCCCCCTTCAACAAGGCTCTGCTCAAAGATGAGCTTGACTTCCTGTGCCCGGAGTGGCGCGACGGCAAATGGGTTCAGCCGTATGACGATCTTCCCAATCTTCGCAGGAAGATTGCCCAGCTCCTCGCCAGCGGGGCCTTCACAGACCGCGAGAAGCTTATCCCCGCCATCTTCGCCGCCAGCAACACCGACAGTCGCGTCTCCGAGCTGGGCGATGACATTCTTAAACGCACCACCGTCTCTTTTGACGATGCCGCTCTGGCCAGGGATCTCTTCAGCGCTCATGGTCGCATGACGGCGCCCTACCGCACTCGGATTCTCGGCCTCCTATCGAAGTCCCCCGTTTCAACCTCCATGGAAAAGGAGATCGCCACGCTTGTTGACCTCGACTCTGGCATCAATTGTCCAGAGCCTCTCCAGCCTGTGTCCAACCTGGAGCGGATCAAACTTCACCGTGCACTCTTCGTCTACATCGCATTCATTGCGCTACACGGCCCCTCGCAGGGCGACTTTGCCATGGGTTCTTCTATTCTCGGAAAGATTCGCGGATATGTCGAGTCAAGGGGCTGGCCGGTCCCTCATGACGAGGTAGCGGCGTCCGCCAACAATGCTGCCTCGGCATCTAACGCTGAGCTCCGAGGACAGGCATACGAGGTGATCGGTCTTCTCGCCAAGGCAACCAAGATGAATTTGCGCGAGGCCTTCGGCCTCGCCCAGTGGCTATTTCAGTCCCTTTCTGAGGATCCCACACCGGAGGTAGCGTTCAACATCGAGTCGGCCTTATCCAGCATGCTGCGTCATTTTAACCCCGACAAGGTCGACCGGGGCGAACTGGCAGCCGTCCAGCTGGGCCCGATGCTTTACAAATATCTTACTCTACCTGATGGCGCTGCCTCTGTCCGGAGCGCTCGGTCAGTGGCCGTCAAATGGGCCAATTCATGCTTCCCGTTCAGCGACCCAGATGCAAGATGGACCTCGATTATTGCTATTGCTGGAAAGCGAGATGAAAGCCACGACGTTGTCGAAGAGGGGAAAAGGGGACTGGATCCCTGGGCCTATCGTGTGCAATCAGTCTCCGAGATCCCCGATTGGGTTACCCTTTTGAAGGTGTTCTTCTACCCTGGCAACGACCACGGAAACCTAGCGCAGACGATGACCCTGGATCCACAAGGCGCGCTGCCAGTCGTTGGGGGAGAGCCTGCGGCATTGGGCAGATTCGAGGGAGAGCACATCCACGCCTTCAGCGTTGCAGTCAAGTTTGTCAAGCAGATGCTTCTGCTTACAGCCCTCCCGGCCCTGAACCGGACCCCTGATTGGGCCGCACAACTTGATCTCGCCATGTCGGTCGATGTGAAGACTCGCGGGCTGGTACGAGAGTATCTCGGTCGTGCTAGTAAAACAGACGTGGCCCTGTTCCTCAAGGCATGTCTGGACGGAGCACTCTCGAGGCGTACCAAGGGCCTCGACGCTGTTATCGAGGAGAGTCTGCGTTGTTTCGTTGATGTCGGTTCTCTGGCGACGTCCGGCGAGCTTGAGTGGCTAGCGGCTTTTGCGGCTGATGTGTTTCCTCTGACCGCCTCGCACAACAAAGACATTCGCAGGCTTGCAGCTCAGGCGCTTGGAATTCTCGGCGGGCATCCGACCAACACTGATTCAGCCCGTTACCCTGCCCTCAGCCAGCGTTTGCTAACGGATTGCACCATCAAAATGCAGGAACGCATCGCCAGTTGGGAGACGGCCTTTGGGTCCGATGCGTACGCTGTGGAGGGCAGCGTCCTGGCTCTCGGCCACCTGTATTCGCGAGTCACGTTCTACGGCGAAGAGTCTAAACCCGACTCTTGGCTTCCCCGAAAGCTCTTGAACAAGGAGAGCGAGTCGGGCGATCTCCAGAATGCAGCCATGGAAGCTTTTGGGCAGTTGTGGTCCGCCCGTCAGGACGTCCCCGTTTCGGGTTCCGACTTGAGCCCCGACTCTGTCATTGAGGCGCTGCGTGCCAAGGCCGAAAGTGGCAACGAGAAGGCGATCTTTGCGCTCGGCCGCCTGGCGATCGGGCTGGAAGACGAGGTGTGGGCTGATGTCCCCCGTTCGGAGCGCTCCCCAGAGCGCTCGAATCCCCTTGAATCCGTTCCGGGCGACTCGGGTCTCGCCTTTCCCGACAAGAAGACCGATAATCTAGACAATATTCTTCGTGTTCTCTACAGCCTCGAGACGAAGCGAGAGACGGAGATTCATTTCACCATTGGCGAGGCCATCACTGCCGCCGTCGGTGGTTGGGATTCGGAAGCAGTCTCGCTACAGATGGATGTTGATCACAAGCCGGGCACGTGGCAGATTGGTGCGCGTGAGAAACGCCTACAGCTGGTTCTCATGAAGCTCTTCAAGGACTGTCGCGATACGGCTCCCTTCCGCCTCAAGGCCGCGGGCATCTGGCTGTTCTGCATTATCCAGCACCTGGGACATCTGCCCCTCGTTCGTCAGTACTCGCGCCAGGCGCAAGCTGCGTTTATGCGTCTGCTGAATGCGCGTGACGAGCTCGTCCAAGAGACTGCGTCGCGCGGCTTGTCTCTGTTGCACGACCGCGGAAATGCGCAGGAGCGCGAGGATCTTGTCAAGGACCTTGTCAACGCGTTCACCGGAGACAGCACCCAGCTCAAGGTTGAAGGCGACACGGAGCTGTTCGAGCCTGGCGCCCTTCCCACGGGCGAAGGAAAGTCAGTCACGTCTTACAAGGACATCATTGCGCTCGCCAACGAGGTCGGCGACCAGAGTCTCGTTTACAAGTTCATGAGCCTCGCGAGCAATGCTGCGACATGGTCTACGCGATCGGCTTTCGGGCGCTTCGGCCTCAGTAGCATCCTCACTGATGCCACCGTGGATCCTCGCATTTATCCCAAGCTCTATCGCTACCGGTTCGATCCCAACAAGAATGTTCGCGCGTCCATGGAGGAGATTTGGAAGTCTTTGGTCAAAGACCCGAACGAGGCTATCCAGAAACACTTTGATGCTATCATGTCTGATCTTCTGAAGTGCGTCCTCGGTAAGGAGTGGCGAACTCGACAGGCCAGCGCGGCTGCCATTTCTGAGATCATCGGCGGTCAGCCTTTCAAGAAGTATGAGCAATACTATGAGCAAATCTGGACTGCAGCCCTCAAGGTCCTCGACGATGTCAAGTCGTCTGTCCGTGAGGTCGCGCTCAAGCTTTGCATGGGCCTCACCAGCACCATCGTTCGCCTGCTCGAGGATGGTAGCTCTGTCGACACGGCACGGGTCATGCTAGGTCAAGCTCTGCGGTTCCTGCTGTCGTCGAGCGGCCTCGAGAGCAACGTCGACGAGGTCAAGGGGTTCTCCCTCAAGACCATCATGGACGTGACCAAGAAAGGGGGCAAGGCGCTGAAGCCGTACGTCGCCGAGATCATCCCCCACCTACTCAACCTGCACAGCACCGTCGAACCGGAGCAGATCAACTTTGCGTACCAGCGGCTGCAAGAGGACAAGCGTGGACAGCTCGATAAGATGCGTGCTTCCTTTGTCAACACGTCGCCCATTACTGAAGCCATCGACAACTGCCTGCGCCAGGTCGACGACGAAATCATGACACAACTTGTGCCCAACATTGAGCAGACGGTCAAGTCGGCCATTGGCATGCAGACCAAGATTGGCTGCGCCCGACTGTTCACAGATATGGTCATGCGCCACCGGCATGAAATCGAACCATATGCTTCCAAGTTCCTGCAGATGATGGAGAAGCAGGTGCTCGACCGCAACGACGAGGTCAGCCAGGCGTATGCCAAGGCATCTGCCTATCTGATGCGCGTCGCTCCCGAGGCATCCAAAGACCGGTTCATCACCAAGGCCATCGATCTGTACTTTGACGCCGAGGACGACGGCCGTCGTCAAAAGGTCTCCAACGTCATTCTCGCGCTATCGACGGCGTCGCCCGACATTTTTAACGAGCTCGAGAGCCGTCTCTTGCCGTTTGCGTTCATGGCGTCTCACGACACGGACGAGTGGGTCAAGAAGGCGTTCACGAAGGTGTGGGATGCGCACGCCGGTAGCTCCCGCACGGTAGCGCGCTATGTCGAGGAGATTGTGGCCTTTGTCAGGCGTGGCCTTGACGCGCCGCGGTGGGTGCTTCAGCACAGCGGCGCGTTTACGATTGCGTCCATGATCAAGGACGTTGTCGCGGCGAGTGATGCCAACGGCCAGATCAGCGACGCCAATCTGAAGCTCATCTGGCCCGTCCTCGACAAGGCGCTCGCGCTCAAGACATTCACCCACAAGGAGAAGCTTCTCGCGTCGTTCCCCATCTTTGTGGGCCACGGCAAGAAGCTCTGGCAAGACGACGCCGGCATTGCGGCGCAGATGAAGAAGATTGCGCTGCGCGAGGCCAAGCGCAACAACGACGCGTACCGCGTGCACGCGTTCACGTACCTGTGGAAGTTTGCCGAGGTGCGCGACGACCTGGATCTCCTCGACGACATTTTCGCCATTGTCAAGCCGTTCCTCGACGAGGTCAACGACGAGGACAGGATGGACGTCGACAGCGAGGACAAGGCCACGGCGACGGCCAAAAACGGGCTCGAGGCCGTGGCGCGCGGGTACAACCGCCCGCAGCTTCAGCAGGACTCGTACGGCGTGCTCGACAAGATGATAAGGCTGCTCAGGCCGTACCTCGGCAGCGCGCAGTTCGCCGTCATGAAGCGCGAGGTCTGGTACGAGTGCGTGCGGGACGTGGTGCGGGCTGCGGTACCGGGCTCGGGCTCGTCCTCGTCGACGGCGGCGTCTGAGGCTGACAAGGCCGTCGCCACGACGTATCTGCTGTCGCTCGATATGGACCAGGTCGACGTCGGGACAGAGGCGCAGCGGAACATGCGGGCGCAGGCCATGGGGGCCGTGTTTGCGGCCAAGGGCAGCGGTGTGTTTGGCGCGGCGCCCGAGGGTGCGGAGAAGGCGCAGCTCGTGGCCATGGTGGAGAACGCGCTCGGCATGGAGCGATCACTGGAGGTGCAGGCTCAGCTGAAGACCATTCTGTCGGAGATGAAGTGAGCGTGCGTGTAGGGAGGAAGGTGGATTATCCTGAAGGTTCCAGAGGTCTAGAAGTATAATGTGTGAGTAGAACTGATGACGAAACGAGCTGTCGATACGAGCTGTAGAGACGTTTTTAAGCTTTATCCCTTCACACTGCACAGCATTCGGCAGAGGTCTTAATGGTGTTGGTTATATACCAGGTAGGCGCTGGTCTGGTGGGCATGCGAGAATGCGTGCGGGGAGGGCATGCCCGACATGGTAACAGTATCAAAGGGGGAGTACGCCCGCTGTATGCATCATCAAGAACTTGACAAGAATTTGATGAAGAGTGGTTTGGTACGAGCAGCAGCCGTTTGGGTGCCTCGGTATCTGCCTTGGTAGATGATTATGGCAAGTAGGAGGCACGAGGCACGAGGCACAAGGCTGATGTAGGACCACAGTGCCAAATCACATGATCCCCACGGTACGGAGCATCAGATGGGCCGGTACCCTTCCCCCCCCCCCTTGGGCCTTTTACTCCCTCCCCACTGGCGCCTTTTGTACCTTTTCGTGTCCCGCGGTTGCGTCACAGGTCTGGCGCCTTCCATCAGACAGGCCTTCAGTACCTAACCTACCTTTCCTACCACACACCTGCTCCGACGCAAACGACGACGAGGCAAATCCAGTCGAGCGTTGGCCAGTTGTTTCTCGCATCGTTGCGCCTCTTTGATCCATCTTGCCTCACTGGAACGACATCTGTATCCCCTCTCTCTCTCGACGACCCTGGATTCCCCCCTCCCTCACATCGCTTGTGGGGCACCGTGGTGAGCCCTACAGTTCAGACCGCAGAACGGCAGACGAGCATCTCGCCCGCGCACCTTGTTGTCCACGGCCTTTTCCCTTTTCCAACCAGAGACAAGAACCGTCAAACGTCATTGCGGGTGCTTTCACCACGTCTTCGTCCTTCACACACACACACACCTCTTGCTCCACAGAGCCTCTTGTTCCACAGAGACACCATGGACGACGACATTTCGAGCTTCGCCGCCATCACCAACGCCGACCCCGAGGTCGCGCGTGGCTTCCTCGAAATGTCTGGCGGCAACCTCGAGGCCGCCATCCAGCTCTTCTTCGAGAACCCCGACATTCAGAGGAGCTTTGGCGTCGCCGGCACCGCCTCCTCGGCCGCCGCCCCCGCCGTGCCATCAAGCACCCGCCCCACCGGCTCTGGCCGCCAGGACCAGCCCATCCAGATTGACAGCGACGATGATCACGACGATACGAACATGCTCGATGACGACGACGACGACGACGGCTACAACATACATGGTGGTGGTGGCAGCAGCAGCGGGCACGCCCAGGCGGTCGCCGTGGCGCGCAGTGCGCAGGAGGAGGAGGATGCCGCCATGGCCAAGAGGCTGCAGGAGGAGCTCTACGGTAGCGGCGCCGGCGCCTCTGGCGGCGGCGCGGCGCTCGACGATGTGCGTTCGCCGATTCGGGCCACCACCGAGACGCTCGTTGCGCCTTCATTTGGCGGCGGCATGACGGATGCCGAGGAGGCCGACATGGCGGCGCTGCTGCAGCAGGAACGACAGCGCGCGGCCGCGAGGGCTCGAGGTACGCTCTCTCTCTCTCTCTCTCTCTCTCTCTCTGTCGGGACGACAGCCTCGAAGAGATGCCCTTGGAACTAACACCTTCTTTTTCTTTCTCTCGTAGGCGGCGCCAGGAATCCCTTTAACCACGACGCGAGCATCTGGGACGGCGACGGCCCGCACCGCTCGGCCGGCGGAAGCGGCGGCACGACGAGCGCCAGCGACGCGCGCGCGCAGCGGCTGGCGGACCTCTTCCGACCGCCGTACGACCTCATGTCGACGGCCGAGTGGGACGACGCGCGCGAGCAGGGCAAGGAGGACAAGAAGTGGCTGCTCGTGAACCTCCAGGACAACAGCATCTTCCAGTGCCAGACGCTCAACCGCGACGTGTGGAAGGACGCCGCCGTGCAGCGGCTCGTGCGGGAGAGCTTCATCTTCCTCCAGTACGCCAAGAACTCGTTCGACGCGCAGCAGTACGTGACGTTTTACTTTCCCGGCGCCAGCCACGAGAACGCCGACAACTTCCCGCACGTCGCCATTGTCGACCCGCGCACGGGCGAGCAGGTCAAGGTGTGGAGCGGCGTGCCGTTCCCGAGCGCCGACGACTTCCACGCGCAGCTCGCCGAGTTTCTCGACCGCTACAGCCTCGACGCCAGCAAGAAGAACCCCGTCGCCAAGGACACGGCGAAGCGGCCCAAGGTCATCGACGTCGACCGCATGACCGAGGACGAGATGCTCGAGATGGCGCTGCAGAACAGCATGAACACGTCGGGCGGCGCCGCAGCCGGCGCAGGGGCAGGAGGAAGCGGCAGCGGCACGGCCAGCGGCACGGCCAGTGGCACCGCCAGCACGCCGAGGTCCAACGTTGTCGACCCCGACGCGCTCACGAAGGAGGCGGCAGCAGCAGCAGCGGCAACGGAAGCAGCGGCCACAGACGCAGAGGGGCACGGCACAGCAGCAGCGAGCGGCTTCGCGCGCATCGCCAGCGACAAGCCGCATACGGAGCCAGCCAACGACCCCAAGACGACAACGCGCATCCAGTTCCGGCTGCCGACGGGCGGGCGCGTGATCCGGCGGTTCAACGTCGACGACCCCGTGCGGCGCATCTTCGAGTGGCTCAAGGCCGAGCCGCTCGAGGGCAAGGCGGGCGTCGACTTTGAGCTCAAGCAGATGCCGCAGGGCCAGGACCTGCTGCATCGCGCCGACCAGACGATCCTCGAGGCCGGGCTGAAGCAGGGCACGGTCATGGTGGAGTTTCTCGAGGAGTAGGTTTTTTTGTTTCTCGTTTCTTCACACACACATCTCGGCGTCTTCGTCTCTTTTTTTATTCACTTTTTTGCTACTGGCATGACGACCAAGGGACTGGCAACGTTGTTTCGCAACGGACGTGGGCACGACGATCATAGACTAGGCTCGCCAAAGGGATGAGCCTAACGGCAATGGATGTTTGTTTTGTTTGTTGTGCTGGCTTGCCCTGCTTCGGTTGACGTTACGACAAGATGCAGGCCGGCCTCCCTGTTTTCTCTCGCATCATGCGTGGTGGCGAGGAGATGGTGGGGCACACGGCTGAGAGAGAGAGGCTGTTGAGCCAAGGCAGAGGGAGGCGAGGCAAGACAGCCGTGCCAAGATGAGCAGTGACGGACGAATAGAGGAGGAGGAGGGCAGCACAAATGAGCCGCACGAATGGAGCCGCACGAATGAGCCTTGCTACGTATGTGATCGTGTCGGAGCGAGGTCCGTCGCCGAAGACGGGGCTTTCGCTGCGAGGAAGGGATCGTAGTAGAGGCCGAGAAGGACGGTTCCTACGAGACGTTGGATGAGGGACTCGGCATCGAGCATCTCTGCTGAAGACGTGAGGCCAGGGACCAGGCTGTGAGGGCATCTCTGAGGGACCAGGCTGAGAGGGGAGGTGCGTTGGAACGCGCCGGATGCATTAGGGGTGTGCAGCGCTGGGTGCCAGGTCTAGGTACTAGGGGCCAGGGCCTTTGGTAGGGGCCAGGGCCTTAGGTAGGTACCTACATGTAGGTAGGGGCCAGGGGCGTAGGACATCCAAAACAACAACATTGCCATCCTCGTCGCGCCCGTCCCCACCCCCCACCTGAACCTCTCCTCCTTGCATCCAGCCGCTCTCGCCCGAATTGACCTGACGTCGTGTCTCTGCGCCCATTGCCTCGACGACGTGGTTGTTGCCTTTTCTCTGCTCTTTTTCTCTGGTCCTTTTCTTTGGCCCTTTCCCAGGCCCTCCTTCTAGCCCTCCTTCGGCTTGCTGTACAAAGAGAGCCGCTCGACGAAGACCACATACAGTTCGAGTAGCAGCCTACACAGCACACAGCACACAGCACCCCTCCAAAACAACACAGACCCAAAGCCCGACCCAAAAAGGGCCGCCCCGCCATCAACCTCCTTTGGCTACCTACCTACCTACTCCTCGCTCTCGCTTCAACCCCCCCTCCCCTCCCTGCATTCTGACGGCCGCGAACCCGAAACCTCCCCCTTCGCCTCGACGAACAAAGACGCGCGCGCACCCCACGACGCTCCTCCCCGGCGCTACCGTTCTCTGCTTCCTCTGCTGGCCAATTGCCGTACGCGGGGTGGCCTTCTCTCGCTCGCCGCCGGAACAGGGCAACGAAGCGACTGCGACGACTGGTCTAACGACGACTGTTGACGACTGACCCAACGACGACTGCCGACGACTGGTCCGACGACGACTGCCGACGACTGACCCAACGACCTGCTCGATACCACCGTAGCCCCTCTCCCCCTCCCACCGATCGGTCACAGACACGTGCCGCCCCCATCGATCGGTCACAGACACGCGCCCGCCATGGGGGACAGAGACAGGGACGCCGACGAGCGCAACGAGGCCCTCGACCCGGAGCTCCTCTACACCAAGGAGTTCTGCATCGGCGGCGGGAGCTTTGGCAAGGTCTACAAGGGGTGAGTTTCTGTCGCGGCCTCTGCCTTGGCCTGCTTTGGCCATGCCCCTACCTCGTGCCATGGCCTCTGCCTTGGCCTGCTTGATGCCCATGCCCATCCCTTGGAGCTTCATCATCCATGCCCACCCTTGGAGCTTCATCATCCATGCCATGCCCATGCCTGACTCAGCCGCTGACACGCCCCCCAGCGTCGACAAGCGCACCGGCCAGGCCGTCGCCATCAAGATCATCGACATTGAGAGCGCCGAGGACGAGGTCGAGGACATCATCCAGGAGATCGCCATCCTGTCCGAGCTGCAGTCGCCCTACGTCACCAAGTACTATGGCTCCTACGCAAAGGGCGCCGAGCTGTGGATCGTCATGGAGTTCTGCTCCGGCGGCAGCTGCGCCGACCTCATGAAGCCCGGCCTCATCGGCGAGGAGTACATCGCCATCATCGCGCGCGAGCTGCTGCTCGGCCTCGACTATCTGCACTCGGACAAGAAGCTGCACCGCGACGTCAAGGGTATCTTCCTCCCCTCTCCTCCCTCTTCTCTCCTCTCCTCTCCGCTCCTCTCCTCTCCTCTTCTCTCCTGTCCTCTCCTTTGCTCTTCTCTCCTCTCCTCTGCTCTTCTCTCCTCTCCTCTCCTCTCCTCTCCTCTGCTCTTCTCCTCTCCTCTCTTGCCGAGACTGACACCTGCAGCCGCCAACGTCCTCCTCTCCTCCAACGGCCTCGTCAAGCTCGCCGACTTTGGCGTCTCCGGCCAGCTCTCCGCCACCATGACCAAGAAGAACACCTTTGTCGGCACCCCCTTCTGGATGGCCCCCGAGGTCATCAAGCAGTCCGGCTACGACCACAAGGCCGACGTCTGGTCCCTCGGCATCACCGCCCTCGAGCTCGCCCTCGGCGAACCCCCCTACGCCGACATTCACCCCATGAAGGTCCTCTTCCTCATCCCCAAAAACCCGCCGCCCCGCCTCGAGGGCAACTTCACCAAGGCCTTCAAAGACTTTGTCGAGCTGTGCCTGCAGCGCGACCCCAAAGAGAGGCCCTCGGCGCGGGACCTCCTCAAGCACGCCTTCATCCGCCGCGCCAAGAAGACGACCTACCTCACCGAGCTCATCGAGCGCCACAGCCGCTGGGCCGCCACCCACAAGGGCGACGACGACGACAGCCTGCACGGCGAGGACGAGTACTACGAGAGGGAGCGCGTCGACGAGGACATGTGGGACTTCGGCACCGTCCGCCTCGTCGGCGACAGGGGCGGCCTCGTCGCCCGCCCGGGCCTCCTCAACGCCATGGACGAATCCGCCACCAACGCCCGCGCCCGCCCGCTCGACGCCGACTACGGCGAACGGCCACGCGAGCACAGCCCCACCAAGGCCCGCGACTTTGCCCAGAACGCCCAGATGGCCGCCGACACCCTGAAGCCCGCCAACGCCGCCACCTCGCGCCAGACGTCGCCGCACAGGAAACCCGTCACGGGCGGCTCGACGACGCCCCAGTCGCCCGCCAAGGTGCCGCTGCCCGTGTCACCAGAGAAGACGACGCGCGGACCCGAGACGCCGCGGCCGTCCTCGAAACCCATGGCGCCGCTACCCATCGGCCAGTCGTCGCCCGACTATGACCGTGAACTGCAGTACCAGCTGCAGAAGGACATGGGCATGCTGAACCTCGGGCCCGCCATCCAACACGACAACCAGGCCACACCGAAGCCGCCGCCCCACCAACAGCTCTTCCACTCTCAACTACAGCAGCAGCAGCAGCAGCAACCCGTCTCACGGCCGACTTCGAAGCTCGGCAACATCAGCCTGCCCGAGATTCCCCCGTTCCGCGGTGGTGGCGTGACGGCGCACCCCCGCCCCAGCTGCAGCCCCTCGACAGGGTAGCCAGCCAGCCCGGCAGCCGGCAGCCCTCCTCGTCCGCAGCCGGTTCAGCAGCAACAGCAGCAGCAACAGCAGCAGCAGCATCCTCCTCGGGCCCATTGCCCCAACCGCTTCTCCTGCCCAAGACGACGCCGCTCGGGTCGCCGGCCCTGGCCACCAAGTCGCCGGGCCTCGCCTCCAAGGCGCAGCCCCTCGAGGTCACGACACCGTCGTCCTTCCCGTCGCCGGCGCCGGCGAGCCCCAACGGCGAGCTCGACGCGCTCAATGACGTCATCTTCCCGGCGCTCGAGGAGGCGCTCAAGCGGCGGCAGATCCGGCTGCAGCAGGCGCACCGCCCGCCGTCGGCCGGCCAGGTGACGCCCCGGCAGCAGCGGGCCGAGGCGGCGCACGAGAAGCTGCGCAAGCTCGTCTACAAGCTCGCGCACGTGTGCAAGGAGATTGACCACTACGACAAGGCCGAGCCCGTTGGCATGGGCCGCGACGTCGGCACCTTTCTCGAGGGCCTGCTCGAGGAGATACTCGTGCGCGTCGAGCCGCTGGACGAGGACGAGCTGCAGGTGTAGTCAGACGGTGAGGGCATGGGAAGCAGCGGCAGCGGCAGCAGCAGCAACAGCAGCTAAGCAGCAGCAGCAAGTAACGCGACACGACGTCATGGGTATCATGCGAGGACAGGGGCGGCATCGAAGCATTTAACATCTTGATTGGGCTCACTTTTGGCATGGCACGCGGCAGGCAAGGCAAGGCATAGCATGGCCGCCATGGGGTTTCGGCTGTTTGTTTGGGTGTTTGGGTTTGGAGGAGGGCCGATGGGACACGGGCAGACAGACGGGCGGGCGGCGAGGGATCGAGCTTTGGCGTGTAGCAAGTATACCCCGGCCTTTTTCTGCGAAAAATAGACATTTCGGAGCGTAGCCTGTGCTATCTTGATATGATCCGGGTTGGGACCCCAAACTTGACAAGAGGCTGGACGTGTCGCACGTCGCTCGGAAGGTTTGCCGATGTGCCGATGTGCGAGGCTTCGGACTTGTCGCCGATCGTTGCGGCTCTCCGACGACGGACGACCCCTCATGCTGAGGACTCCCACATCAACTCACTTTGTCTTCCAGAGGGATACGTGGAGGAGGGCATACAGGCTACGATCACACTTGACCATCGCAGCAACATGTTCATCTAGGGACACACTCGACTCAATTCATGACGGCAACGACTCCTTCAACGACAGCAACCAGACTCTGACATACAACGCAGCCGCCATGGCCGCGCACCCCGTCCTCGACCTCGACACAACACTCGCCTCGCTCCCACCTCCCATCACGCAAGATATCCGCGCCCAGGTGCAAGCCCAGCTGCGCGGGCCCTCATCGCAGGTCCCCCTCCTCGTCGCTCTCGATGACGACCCGACAGGCACCCAGACCTGCCACGACGTCAACGTCCTCACCGTCTGGGATGTGCCGACCCTGACGGCCGAGTTCAGACTGACACGGCGCGGCAGCGGCTTCTTCGTGCTCACAAACTCGCGCGCCCTGCACCCGGCCCCGGCCCGCGCCCTCCTCGTCGAGATTTGCACCAACCTGCGGGCCGCCTCGTCCGCGACCGTCCTTCCCTTTGAGATTGTGCTGCGCGGCGACTCGACGCTACGCGGCCATTTCCCGCTCGAAGCCGAGGCCGCCACCGCCGCCCTCGGCCCCTTTAACGCCTGGCTGCTGTGCCCCTTCTTCCTCCAGGGCGGCCGCTACACCGTGGACAACGTGCACTACGTCGCCGAGGGGGCGCGCCTCGTGCCCGCCGCCCAGACGCCGTTTGCCGCCGACGCCACCTTTGGCTACGCGAGCTCCGACCTGCGCGACTACGTCGCCGAGAAGACGGCCGGCGCCGTCCCCGCCGCCGCCGTGCAGAGCATCACCCTGCAGACCATCCGCGAGGGCGGGCCCGACGCCGTGCTGGCGCAGCTCCTGGCGCTCGAACGCGGCGCGACACCAGCTGCCGTCGTCGTCGTCAACGCGGCCGCCGAGTCGGATGTCGACGTTGTCGTCGCGGCGCTGCTGCGCGCTGCGTCGACAGACACCGGCGGTGCGCAGGCCGGCCACAGGCCGCGACGCTTTCTCTACCGCACGGGCGCCGCGTTCGTGTCGGCGCGGCTCGGCATCAAGCCCATCGCGCCCATCACGGCGGCGCAGCTCCAGCTGGGGGACCCGGACGCCGCGTCTTCGTCGTCTGTCGCCGCCGCCGGCGGCCTCATCATGGCCGGATCCTACGTGCCCAAGACGACGAAGCAGCTCGAACACCTCCAGCGCGACGCCGGCGCCGCGCTCACGACCGTCCAGGTCGACGTCGCGGCGCTGCTCGCGTCGGCGGCGTCGCGGTGTCAGGAGACGGCGCGCGTCGTGGCGGCGGCCGAGGCATCGGTGGCGGGCGGGCGCGACACGCTCGTCATGACGTCGCGGGGGCTGGTCGTCGGCGCCGACGAGGCCGCGAGCCTCGACATTGGGGCCGTCGTCGCTTCGGCGCTCGTCGACGTGCTGCGCGGGCTCGCGACGCGGCCGCGGTACGTCGTGGCCAAGGGCGGCATCACGAGCTCGGACATGGCGGGCAGGGGGCTCGGCATGCGGCGGGCGCGCGTCGTCGGGCAGGCGGCGGCCGGGGGGCCGCTGTGGCGGGGCGTCGAGGGCGGCGGCAAGTGGCCGGGCGTGCCGTTTGTCGTGTTTCCGGGCAACGTTGGCGGTGACGAGACGCTGGCGGAGGTGGTCAGGGGGTGGAGGGCGTAGTGTGGGTTCGCTCGCCTGGTGGTGTTGGATGTGCGGGTTCGTGGGGTCGTGCCTACGATACCATGACGGAGTAGTTTCACTCATCGGGCTAGAAATGGAGCCCCAGTGCAGACATGGAGGCCGTTTTTGGAGCGGCGTCTGCGAATCTGGTGGTTTTGCCCATGAAGGGAGCGACAGGATTTGCGTACCAGCGAATCGACCAGTGGCCTTTCAATCCTTCCCTTCCTTAGACTGTTGTGCCGATGCGCCGTTTCTTTACTCTGCTGTTATGAAGACTGCCCGATTATACTCGTGCATATATCATGAGCTTTTGCCGTTAGCATCGCGCTTGTTTCCAAACCATCAGTCTCTGTCAGGAGGCCGATGCAGAGCCACCGAGTAGGCTACTTAGGAGCCAGATACCGAGAGAACGTATACATGTGGACTGCAGAGGCTAGAACTTCGATATTCTCTCCCCTACCTAGGATCTATTGCCTGTGGACCTAGTATGGAAGACCTCTTGACTCTGCTCAAGCCCATGCTCTGACAGTCATCTGAGCCGATATGTGAGATATGAAATATAGGTCCAGGTCAACTTTTATAGGCTGCGGCGCGGTCTCGCTATAGAGCCTCTTCACATGCTCCTGACTTGGAAGAGAGCTCTGACGAGATGATGATTCGTATACAAGCATTCACTCTTGGAAAACCATGCATGAGCATCGTGACGAATTTTGACTCAGCATGAGATTTTCTACGGAAAACTTCGCACTGGTTTCTCGACGAATAAGGACGGGCAGCAATTTCTGCGGGGTCTTTCATTGAGTAGACAAATTAATATCTTGCTCTAACTACAAGACACTAGTCTTCTTCATGAGAAGTCTCTTTTGACGCTTAGCCCTGTTCTCTGTAGGTCCTATGTTGATTGTAGGTGCCCGTCGCCACCCCGCAGGCTCTCAAGGGTCTTGTAGTACATTTAGCCGTCTGATTTTGAGAGTACGCTGTGATGGTTTGACCGACCTCTATTGGTGTCCCAGCGTTCGACGAAACATGCATTCCCCGTTCCTCTCCTATGACGGGCCTCTTTCTGGGGCTGGATATAGCAACGAATGAGGGAAAGCTTGTAGAGAGTAGAATAATCTATAACCCGTCCCGAAGTACTCCTCAGCGCTATGCCCTCCATTCTAGCCGTCTTCCCGGCTTTTGTACATTGCTCCTTCAAGGTTACTCGGTTCTCCCCTTTGACTCGTATGTCCGCTCGCACCCAACTGATGGGTGTTCCAGAAGCATGCTGACATCAATGGGCAGACGAGTAAGGGAACCAGTGCGATAGAACCACAATCACGATTCAATGGTTGTCCACAGAAATCAATGTTGGTCAGTGAGATGGAGGTGTCAGTCACATCTACCAGGGGTGGGCGTGACCGTGGAGGGCATGATGTTCTGCTGCTGGAGATTGGTCGAGAAGTGGGAATAAAACGCTGAACCACCAAGAGGACTCAGGGACGTAGATGAGATGGACTATTGGTGATGACTCGAAGTATAGGCGAGCCATGCAGGCCGATCCTGATTTTTGACCGATGAGGTGAACCATTTGACCGATGAGGTGAACCAACAAGGTTGACTATTGCGTTCTTCAGACAAGACGAAGGGAATACTGTGCAACGAGTGATGGTCGATGATCTCGCGTCGGGGAATCATGAGTGCCTACACACACGTAGGAAATACATGTTGACATCGTGCACGTATTCCTTCGTCTTGTCGGAAGAACAATGCTCAATATTGCTCGTCATAGTGCAGAGCTTCACTTCGACAAGGCTGATAGCATTGTGAAGAAAGACCCGCTCGGCAAAGTCGGCGACGGGTGAACATCGGATCGCATGGCTCGGAAGCCGAGCTCGCAGGCGGGGTCGGCCGAGAGGGCGTCGCACCAATGGCAGGCGCGCGCCGGCTACCGCTGGGGCTTCGGTCCAGTGCTTTTGCGGCATTTCAGCCTTTCTACAGGTTCCAACTTGACCCGATCCAATCCACTCTTTTTTGTTTCTCTTCGTCCCGTTCCCGAAACCAGCCTGCCTGCCACCTCGACTTCGACTTCGACTTCGACCTCGACCTTGACCACGACCTCTTGCTCTCGCGACACACCTCCCTACGCAGTCGAGAAAACCATCACATCCGTCACAATGCTGTCTCGAGGATCCGCCACCACCGCGCAGGTACGTGCTGCTCCCTCTCCCGCCGCTCAATTGGCTCGTGTGCTCGTCGGTCCCTCGCTCGCTCGTAGACCGAGGCGGGGAGCAAAGCCGAAGATGCTGCCAGCAAAAGCTTCGATCGCAGGACACGACGCGGCACTGCTACCGTGCCATCAACAAAGCCCTCATGCTGATGCTGATGCTGATGCTGATGCTGACCTGCCCTCCAGCTCCTGCGCTCCGCCACCGCCGGCCCCATCATCCCCGGCGGCGCCCGCGCTGCCTACGCGACCATCCAGTCCGACATCTTCAAGCCCACCAAGTTTGGCGGCAAGTACACCGTCACCCTCATCCCCGGTGATGGTATCGGTGCCGAGGTCGCCGAGAGCGTCAAGACCATCTTCAAGGCCGACAACGTCCCCGTCGAGTGGGAGCAGGTCGACGTGACCGGTGTCGACGCCTCGTCGGGCCGCACCGAGGACCTCTTCCGCGAGTCCGTCTCCTCCCTCCGCCGCAACAAGCTCGGCCTCAAGGGCATCCTGCACACCCCCATCTCGCGCTCCGGCCACCAGTCCTTCAACGTCGCCATGCGCCAGGAGCTCGACATTTACGCCTCCATCTGCCTCATCAAGAACATCCCCGGCTACCAGACCCGCCACAACAACGTCGATCTCTGCATCATCCGTGAGAACACCGAGGGCGAGTACTCGGGCCTCGAGCACCAGTCCGTCCCCGGCGTCGTCGAGTCGCTCAAGATCATCACGCGCGCCAAGTCGGAGCGCATCGCCAAGTTTGCCTTTAACTTTGCCCTCGCCAACTCGCGCAAGAAGGTCACCTGCATCCACAAGGCCAACATCATGAAGCTCGCCGACGGCCTCTTCCGCTCCACCTTCCACCAGGTCGCCAAGGAGTACCCCAGCCTCGAGGTCAACGACATGATCGTCGACAACGCCTCCATGCAGGCCGTCGGCCGCCCCCAGCAGTTCGACGTCATGGTCATGCCCAACCTCTACGGCGGCATCCTGTCCAACATTGGCGCTGCCCTCGTCGGCGGCCCCGGCATCGTCCCCGGCTGCAACATGGGCCGCGACGTCGCCGTCTTCGAGCCCGGCTGCCGTCACGTCGGTCTCGACATCAAGGGCAAGGACCAGGCCAACCCCACCGCCCTCATCCTGTCCGGCTCCATGCTCCTGCGCCACCTCGGCCTCGACGACCACGCCAACCGCATCTCCCAGGCCGTCTACGCCGTCATTGCTGACGGGTAAGTTCTCCTCTCTGTGCAAGGTCGCAGCAAAAAAAAAAAAAAAAAAAAAGAAACGAAAAAAAACGGTTGTACTGACAATTCCAACAGCAAGGTCCGCACCCGCGACATGGGCGGTGAGTCCACCACCCACGAGTTCACCCGCGCCATCCTCGACAAGATGGAGACCCTCTAAACGGGACATGGTTCCGACCCGCCCTTTCGGTCCCCCTCTCCCTCCCGGCGGCCCCCTTTCTCCCTCCCTAAAACGAATCCTGCACCCATGATACCTCTCGCCCTCCCCGACCCCTATTTTTAAACCATCGACCTGCTTCATACCCCCTCCGTCATACTCCCTCCGCCAATCAAAAAGAATTATCTCTCTCTCTCTCTCTCTCTCTCTCTCTCTCTCTCTCTTCCTCGGTTGTGATGGAAACTTCGAAGCAACGCGCGACAGACATGGGGAGACTCGCTCTCCTGACCCGAGGACGGACGAGATCGCTTGCAGGACGACGAAAAAGAGAGACACGCAACAGGCGCTACGTCTTTGTGTCTCTCTGTGTGTATGTGTGTGCGTGGTGCGCCAGGGAAGAGGGATCGATGCAACGCCCTCGTGTGTCCCTCCCCAACACCCTACCTGGATAGATTGGCGCGCGCGTGTGTGGCGTGGGAGCGCGGCGGGGGCGGGGACGCGGGAGATTGTAGTTGTATCACACTCTCTCTGTCTCTGTCTTGTCTGTGTACGTAGCATAGGAGTCACGCAATGCATATATGACTTTTTCCCTTTCAGACTGGAAGCTCGCGTGTGCCCTGTTGGAGTGCGGAGGAGGCTACATGATGGCTCGCGTTTTTTGACGTGCGAGGGGCATGGCTGCTGCTGGGCTGTACGTCAAGCTCAAGTAATAGGGGCGCGGACTCGATGGGCATGACTGGCTTCTCTGTGAACATCTCAGGGTATCGACAGACCACGATGACAAGGTGATGCATCACCTAAGTCCCAAGCATGACGATTGAACTTGACGATGGCCTGTCTGTGTTGGTCATTTAAATTAAGCCCTTTAACCGCTTAGCACCGCTTCAAGACCAAGATCGCGGCACCTAACAGACGCACAAGTGTATGATTCATGCAGCCTCACCGAGGTCACCACTCTCGGACTACCACAAACACCATGGCCCGTTCATGCAGCAAAAGCTTCCCACACCGAGGATCGAACTCGGGGCTACGGATTGAGAGTCCGTAATGTTGGCCACTACACCATATGGGACTGGCAACGGTTAGAATGTCAGCCTACAAGAGCGGGAGGAGCTGGCAGGAGGGGCAAAGATGGAGGAAGGAGACAAGGGGGAAGGGGTGAGGGGAAGGAAGGAGAAGATGGAGGCAGGAAGCAGGAGGAGATGGAAGAAAGGGAAGGAGGCCAGGGGCAGCACGGCAGGAAGGCAGGAGCGAGGGACCTGTGACACAGGCACAAACACTGAGGTGCCTTACCTTGGGATTCTTTAGGAGCACCAGTCACAAAACTTTCCTTCCTCCCAAGTTGCCCATAACTGTCACACTCCATCCTACGAACATGCTGGTATCATCCACCTCATCCACCTCCATCGATCATCGTCGGCTCGACAACCCACGTCCGGTGCTCGGCATCCAGCAGCTCATACGTCCGAATCTTGATACTGTCCGCCCACCGGTTCAGCCACCACTGCCGCGGCAGCTTCTTCGGCAGCATGCAGAAGTAACTGAAAATGACGAGCGCCTCCTGACGGGGCGTCTCCTCTCGGAGCATCGGCAGGAAGTCCTCAATCACGTTGCCGACCCAGATAAACAGGTCGATCGACCCCTCGAGCAACTCGTCTTTCTCGACGTAAAACAGACCGAACGACTGGTGCAGCGCGTGCACCGCCTTGTCGTAGACGGCGCGGACGTCGGTGGGGATGTGAGTGGCGGCCGCGAGCCGCGCGCGCAGCGGGTCGAGGTACGGGTGCGTGTACGTCTTCTGCGTCAGCGTCCACCGGAAGATGGCGACGCGGATGAGAGGATAGAGAGGGCTCGTGGGATGGTGGCCCGAGTTGCTGACACCGCCGAGATGGCGCGTGCCTGTGAAGAGCAGGATCCAGTCTGGCCCCTGGCTGGTGGTCCCAAGAAGAACATCGCCGGGATCGCGTGAGTTGGACATGGCTGCACCATTAGCGAGAAGTCTCCAACGCACACAGCGCAACAGCAGGCAGGGACGTACCATAAAACATGGTCAGGATGGAGAAGAGGAAGAGGTCGTCCGCCAGCTGTTGATCGCCGGCCCGCGATACCTGTTCGACACTCGTCACGACGGCGGCGACGCCGCGCGTGGCCACTTCGTGATGCCGCACCGACCTCTCGAGCAGCTCGGCCTCCCGCGACGGACAGACGTACGCCATGTGCAGCGCCGCCAGCGACAGCATGCTGCGCATGACGTAGTCGCAACGGAACCCGATTTTGGGCACGTTGATCTGCCAGAACTTGTTGACCGTCGGGTTGCGTGTCAGCGTCGTGCACGTCTCGGTGCTCCAATGGAACATGAGCTCAAGGTCCAACATGTCGAGCTCCATCTCGGGCTCGGACGTTGGCGGCTCTGGCTCTGGCTCGGGCTCTGCCGGCGCCGAGAACGCAGTATCTGAGTCGCAAAGGACGCCATACTTGAGGCATTGTGTACACTCGGGCTTCTTTTCGTCGCACTGATGAATCAATCTTGGTGAGAAGACGAAGCCCAAAAATCAAGGGGTGGTGGCTGAGATGACTCGGCGTCTGATCCGACATGCGGGGCCGTCGGGAAAAGAGCGTGCGAGAGCTTCGTTGTGGACAGACTGACCTTGACCTTTCTGGCTTTGCAATTCTTGCACCCCGTACGGACCTTCTTGTGCGATCGTCGCGCTGAGTGGCGTGAACGCCGTTCATCCATGCTCCGTCAACGGAAAAGGCAGCCGGGCAGAGCGCAGGTGCATCAGGGCCTGCGTGCAGCATGCCTACCCTTCGATACAAAGAGGATGGAAATGGATGGTGGTGTGCCTGCCTTGCTAGCTGGCTGTGCCTCGCGGATGGCGTCCAGACGGACATTGATATGCACCCCAGCGGCTCAGGCCCCGGCACCTTGCGGCCTGGTAGTGGCTAAATGCCTCGTACTCGCGCCGCGTGCGAGACGGCTGTGTGATTGGCCTCGGTGCGATGATCCGGCTGGGGTGTCCCCGGTTGAGCAGCGGCCAACAGGAGCCAACTCACGACGGCTACACGGGTACCTCATCAATCATCATGACAACTGTTCACCATGGTAAGGATGACCGCCGACAGAAGCTTGTTGGCTTGCTGGTAGGATTAAAGTAAATCAAATTTGAAAAAACTCTTTCGGATCCGCCTTGGCCGAGGACGGCCTCGTATCGTTCAGGCGTCATCTAGGAACGCGAGTATCAAGAGTCACGCCCGCTTACGCAACCTGCCAAACGGCAGATGTTTCCCCAGTCATCAACTCCAAGCGTTAGCTGCTTCGTGACCTGTCTTCCCAGCTCATCCGGCGCATGCCTGACGTATGTCGCCACGACAGCGCGCTTGCCCACGTGCCACTCGCCTCCCATCCAGAACCACCGCGCCTCGGCCGGGATGAACCCATTGGCATCCCGTGCTGCCTCTTCCATGACCACAGCTCCGAGCTTGCCGACAATCATGGCTTGCGCATCGAACCCGCTGTCGCGCCACGGGATCCGCCCCACAGCGTGCGCGGCGCGCGTCCGTACAGCCCGGTCCCGACAGCTGCGCAGCGCGAAGAAGAGGGGCGACGCGACGCCCTCGCCGAGCGTCAGGCTCGGATTTCCACCTGTGCCATCTTTGTCGTCACCGGAAAAGAGCTCGAGCGTCTCCGTGACGATCTCGTCAAACTCGGCCGTGAAGGCGTCAAAGGCTAGGTCGGTCGGGTCATGGCAGCAGCAAAAGTGCACGTACAGGACCAGCCAGTAGAGGCGCACGACGCGCAGCTCCTTGCGGGCCGCAACGTCGAGGGCCGGAAGACGCCGTGCGTACTCGCGTAGCACGGGGGTCCAGCGGTGCAGCTGGGCGAGGAAGACCTTTTGCTTGGCGCGGATGGCGGCCCTGTAACGCGCGCCGGGGCCGGTGCCGGTGCCGTACGGGTCCAGACGGGGCACGTAGGTCGCCTTGCTGATGAAGACGATGCTAAAGGTGAAGAAGCGGCCCCAGTAGGCCATGAGCTTGGCCATGGAGTCGTGGCCCGGCTGGGGCAGGCGCGCGTCGTCGGGCACGCACTTGAGCTGGTAGAGCTGGCCGTCCTGACGGGCGAGCTGGTTGGAGTAGTCGAGCATGACGGCGAGGCAGGGCAGGTTGTGCTCAATGTCGTCGAGATCTTCCTCCTTCTCCTTGTGGCCCGGCGCGCTCTGCTCCAGGTTGCCCTCGTACAGCGTGATGGAGCTCCGGAGGAGGGCGAGGCCGCAGTTGAGAAGCGTCTTGGCGCCTTCGTTGTTGCCCTGCATGAACTCGTAGACGATGAGGATGAGGGTCATGAGGTGGACGCACCGCGGCGAGAGGGTTGTCGGATCCTGGAAGCTCTTGCGAAAGCCGGCGACGGCCTTGAGGTGGTGGCGCAGGGCGTGCTTGTGGTGCTCGTTGACGATCTGCTTGTGCGTCCAGGGGGTCAGCACCGAGGGTCGGCCCCCACGCAAGGGCGCATCGTTGGCCGAGGCGGGCACTTCTGCTACGGCCATGGTCAGGGCGCCGACGGCCAGGATGCAGTGGCGTATGCAGTCGTCCCGCATGCCGGCTTCGAGGACGATGCGCGACCACAGGTCCTTGTACCGGTACCCCGCCAGGTGCGGGACCAAACGGTGCCGAAACAGGTCGTAGTAGACAACGTCGAGTCCCTCGAGCAGCGGCACGGCCAGAAAGGAGGGCGGCATGCCCGCTCGAGGGCGGATCGGGCGGTGGTAGTGGCGTTGGTGTGCGCCCTTCGGCTGGCTGGCCTCCTCGCTGGACGAATGGCAAGGGCGGCCGGCGGTGGTGGTCGAGGCTACCGTTTCATTTTGGGGGAAGTACCCGTCACATTCGACGTCGGCCTTGTGACAGCGGGCACACGTGGGTTTCCGCTCGTCACATTTGACGCGGCGGATCTTGCAGGTCAGACATCCCGTGCGGACCTTGGGCCTGCTCGCGCGTTTCTTTTTGAGGGGAGGCGCGGGCAAGGGAGGGGCGCGCGGGTCGATCTCCTTGAAGAGGGGCGGCGGCCTCGGTGGTCGTGGTCTCAGCAGGGGCGCGGGGGGCCTCGCGAGCGCCGAGAGTTTGTTATTCTCGGGCATCACGGACGCGGCGTTCTCTCGCCGCAGAGGCTCTCGATGCAGAGTCTCTTGTCGCAGAGGCTCTCGATGCAGAGGCTCTCGATGCA